ATTTACATACTTTCAAGACTCATTTCTACATCATTGCTTGTGCTCCAGGAATGACATATTTGACCTTAAAACTCTTGTGCAAAAACAAGCTAAACTGCAGCTTATGTCTGTCTCTTTTAAACAGAAGATGATTGTCTGAGCATGTTTGAAATGCCCCATGGAGGAGACACCACTCACTACACAGAGGAGCATTTTGTTCATTCCCCACCAATTGATAAAAGCCATTTTTGGCCTCGGGGATGTGTATTACTTAACACTATTGGTGATTTGACTTTCACCCCACACTCATTAAGCCTAACCCCTAATTTCCACCTGGTCCGTCTGCGCCGCGGCGTTCGCAAAGATCGCGGCCACTCTAGTCAATGGGTGCTATTCCACCACACGCGGCGCGTTACGGCTCAGAAGCGTCCCAGAAGCGTCTCGGCGCAGGGCTCCTCTAAAATTAGGATGAATCCTATTTTTGACGCGACACAGCCGTAAGGTAATGTTGGGCAGGAAGTGGAACGGTCAGAGCATCCGGGCGAGGCCCATCCCCCACATATACTAATTTTGCAGACCTCCCTCCTTCATCACAACACCTTCATCACAACACCTTCACTACGACACGCACAATGGACGAGGAGCTTTTCATTCTGGAGGTGGAAAAACACACTATTTTATACGATGTAACCAATGCTTTTTACAAGGACAACATCAGAAAGGACAGGGCCTGGTTTTTAATCGCTGGAGTTTGTGGAGTGGAAGGTAACAACTACATANGTGCTAACAGACTTACTGATTCGGCTAAAAAGAAGTTTATTGTTAATGTGTGCGAATTACTTTTCTGAAATCCGAGTGGCTGATATGACTCTAACTGGTCTGACCGACTTCAAATTTATCTTCTGTAAACGTATAGCAAGTCATGATAAGACCCAGTAACCTTTTATAACTATTTGCTTTGTAAATATTCACAAGAACCTTAGAGTACAAAGGCTTTTTAAGACATGTATGGCTACTTACTTGGTATTTATGTTTTCAACATAGTAGCACGAGAGCTAACATACGAGACAAAAATCTACATTACGTAGAAATCAGTTTTTGTCGTATGTGTACTTATAACCTGACTTCCACTTTTTAGAGGTAGGTACTAATAAAGGTCATTAGACCCCTTAAGATCGACCTCGGCCAGGACCCCTACAATGTTAGTCGCCGGGGTGACTGACTCGGCATCCGTTGCAGATTTCTTCTCTGTACCGATGTATCACCCTCTCCACAATATCAACCAACACCAATTTCACTGTGTCCATAAACAGAGACGTCTTGGCCCAAGGAGCAAAATAAGCAGCAGTAGTACTGCAAGATTCGGGTGTCCAAAATGGTGGTGATGATGGTAGTCCAGGAGTTTGTTCCTGGCTGCAACTCGCGGGGGGAGACTTGGTTTTCCTCAGATCCATGGCTAGTTTTCAACTGTTGTCTTAGTGGGGTCCTTAGTTTTAGATGATTTGCTGAGTGGAGGGAGGAACTTATTGCGTTGAATGGGGGGAGTCATCTGTAGAATTGAGAGTTTTTAAAAAAGTTCTTTAAGCTTTGTAGCTTTTTCATCTATCATTTCCAACCAAACAGCAAGAGGTCAAATTTTAGAATAAGTAATAGTTTGTCATGGTATAACGGAATAAGTCAAAAGTATAGTTTGTCAGAAAAAAAAGAAAATATGGAAAAGTCATTGTGTACAATAGTATGTTGAAAATAAAAAAAAAGAAACTCAATTCATTACAAATTAATGAATATTTTACCCAGTTCTAAAGTTTTGAACCCCTTAAAGAAAACCCCATTCCTTACAAAGTACTTCATATTATACCCTTTGGTTAGTGTTGGCATCATCAAAGTGTATCTAAAAGGTATCTCGGTAGGTACAGAAAATAATAAATCATGTAGGTTACTCAGAAAAAACAAACATTGTTTAACTGAACAAGTGTTTAAAAAAAAAACGGCCATTAAAAAGAAACCCGAATTCTTACAAAGAACTTATATTCTACTCAGTTGTTAAGGTTGCATACAACAGTGTGTCTAAAAGTATCTTTAGTAACACAAGAAAAGAGAAAAAAGCATTTGATGTTACAAAACTGGTGGTTGTTCCACTGAATACGTTAATCAAAAAGTGCCTTTAAAGAAATGTATTCAGACAAAGTAATTTTATTCAGAAATGTTTAAGGTTTTGCATACCATAAAAAGTGTATCTTACAGTATCCTTTGTGAGAGAATTAACACACAAATCTGCCGAGTGTCCAGTAAAAGTGTTAATNACGCGCTGGCTCGGGAGCTACAACCACAACAAAATGAACATATTTTACCGTGATTAAATTGTAATACACGTTTCTAAATGATGCCGACGTAACAACATACTGATGTATGTTGTTACGTCGGCATCATTTAGAAACGTGTATTACAATTTAATCACGGTAAAATATGTTCATTTTGTTGTGGTTGTAGCTCCCGAGCCAGCGCGTCTTGTTTGAATGATGCGAGTAAACACAGCTGGCAGCCGCGGTGAAATTCGAGCGACTAGAGCGATGTGATAGGAGCGTTTAGAGCGAAGCGAATATTCACATCGTGTCCGGTGTGAACGTAGCATACGGCTGTGCCACGGTGCTCACGGCGATCGTGGCCACTCTAGTCAATGGGTGCTATTCCACAACACGCACCACACGCGGCGCGTTACGGCTCAGAAGCGTCCCAGAAGAGTCCCAGAAGCGTCCCAGAAGCGGCTCGGCGCAGGGCTCCTCTAAAATTAGGATGAATCCTATTTTTGTCGTGGCGCAGCCGTAACGTAGGCAGGAAGTGGAATGGTCAGACCATCCGGACCAGGCCCATCCCCCACATATACTAATTTTGCAGACCCCCCTCCTTCATCACAACACCTTCACTACGACACGCACAATGGACGAGGAGCTTTTCATTCTGGAGGTGGAAAAACACACTATTTTATATGATGTAACCAATGCTTTTTACAAGGACAACATCAGAAAGGACAAGGCCTGGTTTTTAATCGCTGGAGTATATAGCATATATATACAGTGTATATACACACAAACTAATTTTGCAGACCCTATCCCTCCATAGTCTTTCAAGTAGGAGGAGAAATGCCAGCGTTCTCCTCCGGTTTACAGGCACTGTGTACATATATAGAATAATTATGATAAATGCATTTTTTTACCACTAAAATACAGCAACACATCTTTGATTCATGTCGTTTATAACTGGGATATTATAATTATTATTAACTTTGTCTGTACAAAGTAGCCTGTCCAGGAAATATGCCCAAATCAACAAAAACTGATAGCCGGCAGGCAAGACGCTCCGCTTCTGAAATGCTTCTGAAACGTGTCCGGTAGGGTATGACGCCGGAGGAGGCCGGACCAAAACCGCGGCGCAGCAGTAACGCGCCGCAGACGGAACCGGTGGAATCTAGGGGTCAGTCTGTTAAAAATAACTTCATCAAGTGTAACGCCCTGAGGGAGGTTTTTTTGTTAAATTGTAAAGCTTATTTGGAAGAAAAAAAATTCCCATCTGCACTGTACTGTTGCGTCAGCCCTCGGAGCCGTGCCTGGTCGTTACGTTGATTATGTCGGCGAGGAATATCAAAGTGTGAATTATTTAAAGCATGTAAAGGAACGCACTCAACAAGCACATCTTCACTTAAGACAGCTCTTAAATAGACACGGAATTCACCCGAAAACGTGTTTCTTTATCATAATCAGAGAGAGAGAGCAAGATTAAATCGTGGTAGTGGCAGGTACTTCCGCCTAGTGATGTGTCGGTCGCGAACGAGCCGATTCTTTTGAACGGCTCTTTGCTATGAACGAGGGTGTTACTCTGGGTGCCGAGCCAAGCGAATGTACTGCGGTCAAGCCAGCCTCCACTTCGGAAAACAGAGTCAAGCCAGCATCCGCGTTGTTTTGCGGTGCGTGAATATCCTATGCATTACGGTAGCGGCCTGGAAAAACTGCCTTCAAAATAAAAGTGCTTACTCGGTCAATAACAATTATACCAAACATATTAAAATATGTACTATATAGGCCTAATGTGATCAATAATAATGTAAGATACACAAAACTATGTATAACTACCACATTATAACTGAGTGAATGTAAAACTTAAAGAGTTTCAAAATGAAAGACCTTTGAAGTCTCAAATATGAGCTATCATCCCTGTTTTTAGATAAGAATAAAACAAAAACTCTCCAGTATCAAAGACTCATTTCACGTCAGGGTGATAGCAGGACACCCCATCTAGTCACCCAGGGAGAATCAGGACAATCTGAATTCTAAAAACAGAGGGATGATAGCTCATACAATAGACATTTCAAAGGTCTTTTATTTTGAAACTCTACATCAGAATGTCCTGATTTTTTCTGAGTGACTTAATCAAATAACTCAGATACTGGACTTTTTTTTTTTAAATTCTCATCTAAAAACAGAGGGATGATAGCTCATACAATAGAGGTTTCAAAGATCTTTTATTTTGAAACTCCTTAAGTTTTACATTCACTCATTTATAATGTGGTAGTTATACGTAGTTTTTTAAAAATAATTACTGATCACATTATATAGTGCATATTTCTTAATTTAATATGTTTGGTATGTTATTTTGGTGTATTTGTTATTGACCGAGTAAGTGCTTTTTTTTTTAAGGCAGTGTTTCCAGGACTCTACCGTAATGCATAGAATATTCGCGCACCGCAATATCACGTGCGGGCTGGCTTGACTAGGTTTTCCCGAATGGAGGCTGGCTTGACCGCAGTGCGAATGTTTGTGGCAGTTGCAACATTTAGATTTTTAATGACAGTATACAGGATTAATTATTTTTGCCATGAAGTTCATTGTGTGACTAATTCTCCAACTTTGAATTTCAGATTTCCAAGTTGTTGGGGAGTGGCCAAATGTATCGATGAAAGCCGGCGGCTCAAAAGTACAGTAAGTATCCTTCACGTCTCCAAATAAGTTGAAGGCTAAATGAGTAGG